CATCATCCCATCCGAAGGTTAGGTAGATATGGGTTGAAAAAACAAGGGTCTATCGTTAGACGAGACTCAAAGTGGTTTATGAAGAGAGGATTGTAAATTTGAAAGGTGAAAGGTAATATAATGTGGCTACAAGGGGTGCCTCAAACAAGGGTCTATCGTGTCTTGTCCCGAGCAATCACCTACACGAACAACCAAACATGAGGGAGAAATAGAAGACAAATAAAATAAATAAATAAAATAAAAATAATTAAAAGAAATAAAAGAAATAATACTAAAACTATGAATTAAGGACTAAAATAATAAAAAACACATAAAACTAAACAAAACTCAAAATGAGTTATTAAAATGGAAAACCAAATAAAACTAAGAAAAATATAGGAAAATAATGAAGGAAAATATAGAGAAAGAACCTAAATCTTATTAGTTTGAGCGCCATAAATGACGCTCATCAAATTCCCCCAAGCTAAACTTTTGCTCGTCCTCGGCAAAATAAAATCCAACCCAAGGAAAAATGATGAATTTATTCAAGCAAGGAAAGAAACAAGAAAACTAGAGAAGATGGGAATATACACTAACTCACTTTCGTAGGAATCACGGTCAATTTTAGCAACTAAAGACAAGCCATTTAAACCCCTAGATCGCCCTAGAGGATGAGTGATGCTCTCGTAAGGGTATCCTAAGAGTTTACCCATAACTCTCATAATAATACAAACAAGGCAAAGCATGAAAAAGAAAACAAAATACAAGAAAAGAAAACAAATGTTCATGAAAGGACTTTTGCAAATGTACAAGCACAAGTGAATGCAAATCTTTCTAAACAAGTAAGGGAGTGCACGCTACAAGATACCTAAGGTTGATTGAAACATAAATATGCTAAGCATAGGAACTAGTTATCACACTCCACTTTCATCCCAAACGGTCTTACTGCGTTCCCCCTACTAATCTCATATCTCCCCATAGTGAGCATCTCATAGATTCCTCGAAGGAACCGGAAAAAGATCAAATTTTTAGGCTACTCGACATCTTGACTTCGCATCCCTTTCCTTAGGCAATGACCCATGATTCCCTCCCCCGAATAGTGACTCAACTTTCTAGGTCGAAAGGTCTTTCCCCAAGGTTGTAACATAAGGCATAAAGGGTGAAGGTAGGCTAAAATTTAAAATTTGGAGGTTTTCCTAAAAAGTGAAGCAAAAGGGTGATCAATCCTTAACAACACGATCAAGAAATCACCAAGCAAAAGCAACACCCCCAAGCTTATTTGAAGCTATACTCACAAGAAATATATACAAAAAGCATAAACGCTTCTCCCCCAAGCTTAAATGAAGCATTGTCCTCAATGCTTAGAAGGAGAAAAGAATACATCAAAATATTTTTGAATTTTCACTTTTTTCAAATTTTTTTTTTCTTTTTTTTTTTACTTAAACTTGCATTGTCCTCGCCTTTTGCTAAATTCGGACGGCTTTTTCTATAATGCAATTTATTAGTCCATGCCTTTTATGATTAAGGACGACTTTTACTCAATCACTTGCCATTATTCACAAAGAAGACTTAATCACAAACTAGCACTCATAAAAACCAAATTTCCAACTTATCCACCACAAACTCCATCATACGTGATCAATTTGCTTCACAAAAAACTAAGAATAGAAAGAAAATGAAACAAAAGGCAAAAGAACTAAAGATGTGGCTTGAAAAGAAGGTATAAGGCTCAAATGGTTGCAAGAAGGCAAATGGAAACCCAAAAACAAATATGAATCAAACTAACCTAAAAATTAAAAATACCACCCCGAAAAAGGTGCCTTTGTCCTCCCTGATAGCTCGGTCTCAGGTTTAAGAATCATACATCAAGGACCCCATTGCGCTCATGCAAGAATATGATGAAAGCTTGAACAAATATAAATCTCACATGGTTGTAGCAAAAACTCACTAAGGTTGTCAAATCGAAGATAGGGAGCAACTACCAAACATGCCACAAACAAGTAGAATCCGGCTTCATGATCCCTCTAGTTCTAGACAACTACCTTAACATGCTTTATCCTAGAATCAACCAAACGTAATCTCAAACCGTGCACACCACTACCATTTAGGAAGAAAAGCATTCAATTACACAAGTCCAAATGTTATTATGTCCAAAGCAAGAACAAAACAAAACACATTGTAAATTTGCCTTGATAGAAACAAAAATCTTTTTGGAGTTTTTCAAACACTACAAGAAAACACATTTATGGCAATGACTTTTTGCAACAACAAATTGTAGGTCGTTGCAAAAAAGTTTATTTGCGACGAATGCAATTTTAGCGTTACAAATATTGTAGCAAAAACTGAAAATTTCATTTCCCTCCCTCCAAATACAGCGCGGGCACTCAATGAAAATTTGAGTCAGGTTTTTGCAACGACACAGTTGTTGTGTAATAAAAAGTTTATATATGACAACAACCAATGTAGTTATAAAAAAGAAAAATAAATAATGACAACAACAGCTCGTTGTCAAACATTTAGAAAAATAAAATGGGTAAGACAAAAATATAGATTAAACCATTCAAATCTTCTTTTATTTTTTCATTTGCTTTGAAGAAAACCCTCGAAACCCTTACTATTTCCCACCACTCTCTCTCCAATGGAGACCCATCTTCTTTGATGACCCAAAATCCTCGGCTTATAGATCTTCTCCGGCGACTCAACCTCTTCACTTTCTCCGGTCCGGCGACCCATCAAACTTTAGCTACAACTTCAATTGTGGTCTATTGCTTCCATTTTTGTCATCTTTAATTAATCTATTTTCTTACATGCTAGCTTTTATATTCATTGATTCTAGTATCAACTTTGCAGATCGGTACTTTGTTAGTGAAAGTGGAGATTATAAACATATTGATTTTTAATAGTTGCCGCCACAACATAATTCTCCTCAAGGTATTCATCTGAACATGGTTACGAATTGAAGTGCTAAAATTCTCAAGGAAAACTGGTATTTGGTAATTTATCTTCCCCCTTTCGTATGCCTTAATTTAATTTATTCAATTATTTTTTCAATTTAGTTTTAAAATGTACTGGGTTTTGTGAGTAGAAGTTTTTGCTTTTATAAAGTTTCACTATTTTGTTTTAATTTTCCATTATGTTCATAAAAACCATGAACGTGTCTGATTAACTTTTATATTTGACTTTTTATGGCTTAGGATATAGTGGGTTTACTAGAATGTTGAATTTTATTACTTTGGGGCAAAATTTTATAAATTAGATTAGTTTAAGGTACTACTTTTAGCTCATTAACTAGAGTGGCAAAAGTTTTAGCTCTAGACACATTATTCTATTTGCTGCTATATAAATTAAAGTAGTTTAAGGTTGAAATATATTACGAGTATACATTTTCTTGTATGTAGTTATCTACACTTAAAAAAGGATTAAAAAAAAGAGCTACAAAACAGAGTAGATTGGAATAGAGAGAATGAGAAGTATATACTATTACAATGGAGGTTATATGAAACTAATTATGGAAGCCTTAGTTCCTTGTACTACATTTTCCATTTTCTAGTATCATTTCCCCATTGTCGTTTGGTTTAATATCCTATAAAATGAAATAGATGGATACGTGGACATCACTTTATAGTTATCATGTTTTTCTATAGTGAAAACTTTGGTCATAAATTATTTTTCTTATTATTCATCTTGATGGTTAGTAGCACTGATTTTTAGTAGCACTGAAGAGGACGAGTCGTGACAACTAAATTATAATAGTTATATATTAGTACTTTAGTAGCACTGATGGGACCATCACTTATTACCATTTACCCTGTATACTCCAACTTGAAGGCATTATATGTACTACTACTCTAAGAAAGGATCGATTCCTAACAAGTTAACATACATATAATACAAAAAAACACACTATAAGTCATTGGGACAAGGAAGATAATATTGGTTGATAATTTTAGTCTTCTGTTTTTTTCCTTTAACAAGGTTTAGTTTTATGGACTTCTTGTATTTGTTTTGTTTCGTGCCCTGTAATTTTATATGGGTAAGGGGAAGAAGATTGAAGAAACAAGTTTTGTGCAAAATGAGTTCATTTTCCGAACTTTTGTACTGGTAGAATACAAGTTAAAGCATAAATTTGAGCTATGAAAATTGTTATCACTTTTTCATGTATAAAAATTTGATATTTCAATAATATAGTTGTTTTTTTATGTAAGGATATGGCATTGAATAAGGCATGGATGAAATTAAAGAGTCGTTCATCTTCTGATTATATTTATGGTGTAGATAGCTTCTTAGATTTTGCCCTTTCTAGTGTTGAAGAAAATGAAAAAGAAACTATCACTATCAGGTGTCCATGTAATAGTTGTCGTACTATATTTTATAAAAGAAAATGTGATGTTAGATTTGACTTGCTAAAATGGGGAATGTATGAGAAGTATACTTCATGGGAATTCCATGGAGAATTATATGATGATTCAAGTGATGAGGAAAACGACAATGGCAATGACTTTGGCAATCATGATAGTGGATTTGCCATGTTACAAGATGCTTGTGGTGTAGCTACTATGAATGTGGGGCTAGATGAGGATACATCTAATGAAAACAACCTGATGCCTGAAGAACCTAATGCTGATGCACAAAAGTTTTACCGTTTGTTAAAAGAGTATCAACAACCATTAACTGTAGACGGTACAACAATGTCTAAACTATCATATATTGTGAAATTGTTGCATTTGAAGGTCCTCAATAAGTGGAGTGACAGTTCGTTTGATAGCTTACTTAAGTTACAACGTCAAGCTTATGGCTCTACAATTCCTGATTCTTATTATGAGGCAAAGAAACTCATTAAAGATTTGGGTCTTGATTATATAAAGATTGATGCGTGTCAAAATGATTGCATTCTTTATTGGAAAGAGAAAGAAAATTTGACTAAGTGTCCCACATGTGGTTTATCGAGATGGAAAAGTGATGAAAAAGGTTCTTCTAAAAGTATAACAAAGGTGCCTCACAAGGTTTGCGCTACTTTCCATTGAAGCCTAGGTTACAAAGGTTGTACATGTCTAGAAAGACGGCTGAAGATATGCGATGGCATAGTGAAGATAAGTTCAATGATGATATAATGAGGCATCCTCGTGACTCAATTGCTTGGAAGTCATTTGATATGGAATTTAGTGCATTTGGCAAAGAATCACGTAACGTAAGGCTAGGACTAGCTTGTGATGGGTTTCAACCATTCAATAATTCACAGCATAGTACCTGGCCTGTTGTTCTTATTCCGTATAATCTGCCTCCATGGATATGCATGAAAGCTCATTCATTCATGTTAACTTTAATTATACCCGGACCTAGTAGCCCAGGAAGAAATATAGATGTATACCTTCAGCCATTAATTGATGAATTGAAAGAGCTTTGGAACATTGGAATTGAGACATATGATGCTTTTTCTAAGGAAAATTTTCAGATGCATGCAGCAGTGTTGTGGACAATCAATGACTTTCCTGCCTATGGAGATCTTTCTGGATGGACCACTAAAGGCCATTTTGCATGCCCATGCTGCCATAAAGAAACGAAACGAACATCTTTGCTGAGAAAGGGTGGCTATTTAGATCATCGACGTTGGCTTCCACTTGATCATATATGGAGACAAGATGCTGCTTCCTTTAACAATAAAAAGGAGAAAAGGCGTGCACCGCTTCCATTGAGTGGGGAAGAGGTACTACAACACTTGTCTCGTTTCACACCAGAAAAGTTTGGAAAGACTTCTAACAAAAGAAAAAGGGATGCCTCAAATAGTCTGTATGGGTGGCATAAAAGAAGCATTTTTTTTAATTTGCCTTATTGGAGTAAGTTAAAAATTCGTCATAACTTAGATGTTATGCACATCGAAAAAAATGTCTCTAATAACATTTTGGGTACTTTGTTGGGCATAAAAGGCAAGAGCAAAGATACCACAAAGGCTCGAATAGATTTGATGAAGATGAAAGTTAGAAGTGAATTGCACCCGATATTGGATGGTGATAAAGTACGTGTTCCTGTTGCATGTTACTCTCTAAGCTCAAGTGCCAAAGCTGCCATATGTGATATGTTTACTAAAATAAAATCCCCAGATGGCTATTTATCAAACATTTCTCGTTGTGTCAAGGATAATGGAAAAAAGATTTCTTGCTTGAAGAGTCATGATCATCATGTGTTCATTAAGCAGTTACTTCCTCTTGTAACGCGTGGCTTTTTGCCAAAGTATGTTTATGAACCTCTGGTAGAGTTAAGTTCCTTTTTTAGGAATTTGTGTTCAAAGAGTATAACCATCGGTGAACTGGAAGATCTTGAAAGAAAAATCCCTTACACGTTGTGTAAGCTTGAGATGATTTTTCCACCAGCTTTTTTTGATGTCATGGTTCAATTAGTTATACACTTGGCAGCCGAGGCAAAGATTGCTGGGCCAGTTTGTTATCGTTGGATGTATCCAGTTGAGAGGTATGTTGGGTAATTTTTTTTTTTTTTTTTTTTTTTTTTTTTCTATAATTTTGAGAATTCACTGACTTTAAAAGCACTTTAAACTCAATAGGTACATTCAAACGTTGAAATCATATGTTCGTAACAGAGCACACCCAGAAGGTTCAATAGCTGAAGGATACCTTGCTGATGAATGTCTAACATTCTGCTCTGGGTATATGAATGATATTGACACTGTTTTCAATCATAAAGCGAGAAATGATGATTATGTGGTGGATGGTGAAGATGTTTCTTGTAGTAATCTTGAGGTATTTAAATCTTTGGGGCGTAGCATTGGACAAGGTGTTCCTGTACATCTTGATTTTGAAGAGAGTGATCAAATACACTCTTATATTCTACATAATTGTGATGAACTTGTCGAGTTTGTTAAGTAAGTTTGCTGGAATAGTTTATTTGTTACGATATCAATTGTTTATAATTATTAAGTATATTATCTTAATTTGAATTCCAATTTATTAATTTTTTTTGCAGCGAGCACAAGTTAGAACTTCAAAGAGAATGCCCAAGAAACATAGAAAAAAGGCATAAAGCACAATTTTCCAATGGATACTTGATCGTGTATGTTTATTTTCTTTGTAATATAATGTCTTTTTTTTTTAATTATCAGTACATACATATTATATTATTTATCATCATTTAACACCCTTATTTTTTGTAGGTACGAAAATTGCATGGAGAGGATTCCATTGATAATGATCTTTATAATCTAGTTTGTGGTCCTTCAAGGGTTGCAAGGCGTTATACTGGTTACATTGTAAATGGTTATAGGTTTCACACTAATGACCGCTCGGAATACAGAAAAACACAAAATTCTGGAGTGATGGTTAGAGGTGATGACTCTTCAGATAAGGAGTATTTTGGTGTATTAGGTGATATATTTGAGCTGCATTACCCTGGTGGAAATCATGTTTTTGTTTTCAAATGTAATTGGTTCGATGTAAGCTACCATGGTAGAGGGTATAAGGTTGATGAATATGGATTCGTAAGTGTTAATAAGACACGAACTTTAAAAACAGATGAAGTTTTTGTCCTAGAATCACAAGTGGAGCAAGTATTCTTTATACAAGATCCAAGAGATAAGGATTGGGACTTTGTTGTAAAGGCTCAACCAAGGGATTTTTATAATATGCCAGATGATGATGTTGATAAACAACCTTTGAATGTGGATGCATATCAGCAGGATGAGGTGGAGTTAACTGGGGAAAGGCAAAGTCCCTTGGGCACTAATTTTTCAGTAGAATCTCTAGCTACAAATACATTTGTAGTTGAACGAGAGAAAAAGGTCGTTGAAATGGTTAAAAAGTTTATTGATAAATTTAAGGCAGATGACGAGTTTATCAACGATGGTGAAATTGAAGTATTTGATGATTCAAGTGAAGAAGAGGAAGAAGAGGAAGAGTCATTTGATTCTGAATAACTAGAATGATAAAATCACATTAAGTGTTTAACTATCTGTGTGACCTTTTTTTTTTGGAACATTTATTTTCTGTTCACCAAACATAATATGACACTATTAAGTGTTTAACTATCTGTGTGTGTCATTTTTTGAATTTATTTTCTGTTCACCAAACATAATATGAGTTATATATATGTTTGAATTTAATTATTTAGTAATAATCTATATAAGCTGCAGCCTATATTTATATATATAACTAAATCCTATGTGTTCTAGTTTTTTTTGTACATTTATAAAGATGGTTGGAAGAGGAGGAGGTAGAAGGCTTGGAAATCGTAATGTTATTGCTCCTGGACAACTTCAAAATATCATTCGTTCTGAAAAAGGTAAGTATATGTACACTAGCTATCTTTTTCGTTAAAATTTTTATCTAGTATTTATATTCTTTTTACATACTTATTATAATGTGTTTTCGTTTTATCAACAAAGGTGCAACGATAAAATCTGCACTTACTAAAAGGGTGCAAATTGGTCTGACTACTCAATATGATAGAGATGTTGTAGAAATGGTTGCAAAAAGTAAGGAAAAATTTATGCTTTACTCTTATTTTCTCTTATAATTAAATTTCTATATGGCCTTTGAGTCAATTTTCCTAACCTTGAAATAATTTGGTAAATGTAGATTTGGATAGACAACGAGCAGCTTGCATGGCAAACAATGTTGTAGAGTCTCCAACTATGAATCATGCTAATTTGAACTCTGCTTTTGAAGAAGAGCAAGTTGAAGAAGGGCAAATTGAAGAGCAACAATTTCAAGAAGAACTAGCAACCGACAATCACTCTGAAGGTTTTGTGAATGATGATAGGGCAAAGAGTGTTATACCACATTAAAATCATTGTCACAACTTGTTTCTTATTTTTTGTAGCACATAATTATTTGAATGTATGTTTAGCTGTAGGTGTACTTGGGAAACGAAAAAGGATGACTAGATTAGCTAGTAGAGTTGCAGTGTCATTGCAAGTGAATCAAGCTGCTGATCCTCTCCCCAGGAATACAAGTACTAATCATGATGTAGATGAGCAACAAGCACCTACAAATGGTTGCTCTAATGAAAATGAAAGTAAACCTAATTTTTCTAGCATTAAATATAAATTTCAAGTTTTTAGTAATTTAAAAAAAAACTTACATAATACATTTATTCATTACATGTTAAAAGTTACAAGTAAGATAAGAGCAAGAGGTAGTAGGGGAAAGTATAAAAGTTTTGTTGTCGATATGAAAATCAAAGGAAAAGGCTCAAAATTAAATGTTGAAATTCCCGATGAAATTGATTGAGCATTTGGAGAAAATTCACGACATTTGGTGAATGAGTGTGGTCGCGTAGTGAGGACCAAAGCTCCATTGAATGTAAAGAATTGGCAAGAAGCTTTATCAATTGCCGGTGATAGCATGTGGAAGGAAATTCAGGTACATAATTATTTCTGAAATATTTCTAAAAAATTGTTGTATATATGCTTGTTAAAAGCCTACATATTGTTTTAAATGAAACTTCAATTTTGAATATATGCATGACTTTGTCATGACAGGAAAAGTTTCAAGTTAATGATGCAAATCACTTGGCCAAAATGTATACTTTTGTTGTAGATACTATGCAACGTTTGTATTGGTTGTGGAAATGCAGACTACATTACTACTACAAGAGTGCCAAATGTGGAAAAACTAATGCGGAACGCCTAAACAATCCTCCACTAGATTTACCGAAAGAGCAATGGCAATGGTGTGTAGAGCATTATGGGTCAGATGAGTTCAAGGTATTTGCTCATTAAATCTACATTTTAGAACCTTAAATTGTCCTCTTATCTATATTCTTATAATCTTCGTTCATGTGTTTTTGCAGATAGTAAGCCAAAGGAATTCCAAAAATCGATTATCAGACAAAAGATGTATTCACACTACCGGAAATTTAGCGTTTGTTTAAGTTGAAGATATATTGGTATGACTAACCTTATACTAACACACAATATATATACCATCCCCACATGATATTCAATTTTTTTTTTTGTATAGTGACCCTAAAGCAAAGTCATTTTTGTTATGTTAGACAAAAGAGAACGATGGTGTGAAGCCAACTGCAGATGTGATATGGCTTGTTCAGCATACACATACAAACAAAGAAGATAAACTTGAATGGGCTGATGGCACACGTTCTAAAATAATTCATGTATGTGTCACATATATCATATATTCTCTGATTGATGTAATATAAATTTTCCTTTAATCTAATTATAAGTTCATTTTAAAACTTTGATTACGTGGTAGGAAAAACTGAAAAATGTAGTTGCTACTGTTGGTGATTCAATGACACAAGAAGAGATATTAATTCAAGTTTTAGAGCCAAGGTCTGGGTATGTTCGTGGAAAAGGGACTGCACTACGTGGTTATTCTAAAGGAAAACAACAATTGGAACAAAGAAGACTTGTTGAGCAACAACAACAAAAAATACAAGAACAAGAACAGAGGATAAAAGAGCTAGAAGAAAGCCATCAAAAGCAACAACAAGAGTTAGAAGACTGTAAACAAAGGCAGCAACAAGAACTTGAAGAGCATAAAGCACAACAACAACAAGCTATGGAAGATTTTAAAAGAGAGTTGCTGCAACAGCTTGCAAACAGAGGTATCTAGCAATTAAGATAGAGGTAAAACTTTTACTATGTATTTTATTTTGCGCTATATATTCATTAACCTTAAAAGTTGCAAAACTGGATGTTAGTTGCAAAATTCGGTTTACATAGCCCACTAAAATTTAAAACTCATCATCAATTAAAACTTATTATTCCCTTTTATTCTAATCGCCCTAAATACCTTTTTTTTTCAATTTTTTTTTTTTTTTTTTTTTGGCAAAGATCACATTTATTTTTTTCTTTTCTTTTTCTTTAAATCTTGTTATTCCCTTTTCTTCTTTGTTTTTCTTCCTGCTACACTTTCTATGTATCACTTATACTTGACTTAATACTATATATATAAATTAGGAAGTTAAAAAAAACTCTAAACTGGTAATTTCTTGTAAAAAGTATCAGTTTACATATAACTCATATTTTGACAACTCAAATGAAGTATTAAATTTGTTACTATTATTTGGCTATCATAGATTAAGTTAAACTATTATTACTCACTGTAAACTTGTATAAGTGATGTCTAAAGTTGTATGCTAAAACTAATGTTACGGAATTTGCTAACTATAACCTTTGATAAGTTTTTATCGAAACTATTTAATTTATACTCCAATTGTATGCAGATTAGGATATGGAAGTTTTGCTAAGGTGCCTTCGTTGTGGATGTTGAAAGAAGATGGGTATTTTGGGCATTGAATGAACTGATGTTGTATTCTTTTGGAATGAATGAAATACTATCTTGAATGTTGTGGTAGGAATAGAGTACTACCAATTTTTGGGCATGACATTAAACTATGTATATTCTGAATATTATGTGACATTGATGTCACATTTTGGGCAAGCATGGAAAATGTTTGTACTTGGAACAACTTCCATCTTTAATATATTCAAAATAGTAAATTCAAGTATCTTGGTATTTGTTATGACAAAACTAAAATAAATAATTATTACTAAAAATTAAATTAGGTGACAATAGTCAAAATCATATATTACATAATTTTTGCGACGACTATTGTTGTTTCAAAAACGTTGAAGTAGTACAACGACAAATGTCGTTTTCTTTCCTAAACTAATTATTGCAACGACTATTGTTGTTGCAAAAAACAATGATGTAACACGACATTTGTCGTTGTCTTTCTTGAACTAATTATTGCAACGACTATTTTTGTTGTCTAAAACTATTTACCATCGATCAAGTTTAATGCATATTCAACAACGACAAATCTTGCACAACAAATAAAGTCGTTGCCAAAACAATATTTTTCGCAACAACAATAGTCGTTGCTAAAGCCTTTGGCTACAGGCTTACGGGCAACGACCAATGTCGTTGCAAAATACGTTTTTAGCAACGACTAATTATATATTGCAACGACTTTAATCGTTGTGAAAAATGTGTTTTCTTGTAGTGAAAATATAAGAACATGGAAAAGCATATACAAAGGTGCATAGCATACATGAATCAACATCCCACCAAACATGATAGAATACCCTCCCCCAAGCTTAAATGAGACATTACACTCAAACATAAATCATATAATCCATGGGAGGGGAAAACAAGGAGATCAATCCAACAAACCAACATATGTCCAACAAGTCATCATCCACTAGAGAAAGAGCAAGGAAGAATATTACCGGATATTAGATGGGTGTAAATACCCGTAAATGACCCAATTTAACCTTTCAAAGCTAATTTCTCAAGAATTAAACCTTGTTTCCATATGCTAGCAAAAATAGGAGTCGAACTTCCTTGATTCTTGATCCAAATCGAAGCACCGAAGTATATCAACTCATGTACCTAGCAAAAGGCACACAAAAATTTCCATGAGAGAAAATCTATTCTAAAAACAAAACAAAATCTATTCTAAAACACGGGTTACTTCCCGAGAAAGGCTTGCTTAAGGTCCAAGCTTGACCGCTCTAGTAAAATAATATTGCAACGATCGCAAGAGCTTGTCAAATGTACTACTACACATTTCATATGATAGAAGGTAGGCAAATAACGGAAGAAAAACGTGCAACAAGATCATTGCACGCAAGTGAGAAGGGAGGTGCCAAAAGAAAGAAGAAGAAGGATCAAAAGGAAAAACAAGAAAATAAGAAGAAGAAGAAAAAGAAGGGGGAATAAAAGAATGGAAAGAAAAAGAAAAAGGCAAATCCTCCTCACTAAAATATTTTTGGGTGGCAACATCACCCTTTTCCTCAACAATAGACGAATGAGGGAAATTAAGATCATCATAGACAAGGGAGTCCCCAATAGGCTTATCAACAAAGGAAGGGAGAAAAATAGGGCAATAGGGGATGTGGTCAAACCTTTGAGAAAAAGGGGTATGAGTAATAGGCAAAGGGTTCGCGACTCCCTCAACACAAGGTCTCACATCGCCAATGAGGGCATAAAATCAATCATAGAGTCCTCAAATGAAGTTCTCTCACAATAGACATCTCCCTCAAGCTCAAAAACTCCAAAGGAATCAACCTCATCCTTCTTTGCACCACAATAATCAACCTTTCCTTCCACAAACTCAAAACCTAAGTCCTCAAAACCGTGCATGAATGGATGCAAATATAACTCAAAATCATCTCTCTCCCATGAAGCATCATCAATGAACTCACTTAGAAGGCTATGGGTTTTCATTTTAATCTCAATAAACACATTGGACATAACCTCAAACAAGTCCAAACACTCATGGATAAAAGAGTCACATTCATACACTTGAGACTCATCATAATCAACCAAGGAAGAGGAGTTTAGATTCACAAAATCATCATAATCATCATCACTCTCAACTCCCTTTCCTTCACTCCTATGCTCAACAATAGGATCCTCACACACTCTTGGTTGTTCAAAATGATCATCATCATCATCCTTAACACACACATCAAATTGAGATTTTTCACAAACAAGCATCAAGGATGACAATTGGCTTTCTAACTCATCTTTTCTTCTCTTTCCCTCCTCAAGATGCTCCTCATTCTTTTTCATTATCTCTAATTGATCTCTCATAGAATTAAGAATCATCTCCTTACTAGGCCCAAACTCATTATCAAGCTCAATGCGCCTAATTTGAGACTCAAATGTATCAACAAGAGATTCAAAAGATGTAGAAGGTTGAGGCTCAACAAGAGAAGAAGAAGTACAACCAATATTGGAAGAATCAACATTAAGATCTTGAGCATATACATCACATTGGGGAGTGGGGGCACAATTTATAACATGAGATTCATCATTAAGGGAATGAAGCACATCACAAGAAGGCATGGTAAATAATGAAGAATATTGAAACACACCATTAGCATCAACTTGAGCTTGCACTTCATTATCATGAACAAAAGGATAAATAAAGTTGGAATCATGTGTTCTAGGTTCACTTAAGGGATCATGTGACAAATCATGGGAATTCATGCTAATATTAGAATAATCAAGACATTTCATATCAATATTAGACTCATGATTACCCCTATCATAAACATCCCTAGCAAACCAAACATAAAAATCCCAAGCATCATCAATTGACAATGCTCTAAATTCACCATTATGCATACATTCAACTTCATCCCTAGTTTGCTCATTCAAACCAAAATAACAAATCTCACAAGCCTCCCAAATATTACACCAATTATAGTCCAAAAATCCCTCAAGTCTAATGAAATATTCACAAAAAGGCTCATTGCTATATTGAGGAAATGATAGACATGCAATTTTTTTTTTTCACAAAACAAACAAAAATCAAATAAAAGTAAAAATATACACAAAGACCTAGACTCAAGCAATCAAAAACACTCAAACAAAGACACCGTTCCCCGGCAACGGCGCCATTTTGACGAGGGGAAAACTAGGTCGTTATCTAATCTTCCCTCGGTCAAACTAAATTTATAAACACTTAACAAACCCTAATACAAGTATAGAGGCAAGTCAAGGGTCGAACCAAAAGGAACGGTAATGTTCAAGCACTTTCAATTATGCGCCTAAGCTAGGTCGAAGACGAAGGTAAGAGAGAATACTAACAACTAACAAAACAAGTAACCAAGGAAATAAAACACTAGGAACGGGGACCAACAAGTAATCATGTCAATTGCAACAACTTGGGAAGAGCATGCAAATCAAAGGTTGTGAGGGCTAATGATAAGAGCAATCAATAGGAATCAAAGAGCTATCTCCTAATTGTTAAGCTAGGGTTCACTATGAATAACAAACTAAGAGAATCACAATCAAAACCAATTGATAATTGCAATTTCTAAATCAATTGTTCATGTCATTAGCAATTACAATGCAATCTAGCATAATTCTTAAGGCCAAATTGAATTACACACATGCAAACCTTCACTAGTCACTTTAATCTCAACAATCAATCAACACAATTCCAAAATCAATCACAATTAATCAATCATACAAGTTTCACCCAATTCCTAGCCAAACAACTATTCAAGAATCATCATCTATCAACTATCAACTATAGAGAACAAGAATCAACAAAATATCAAGAACAATTACTCTAATCAAACATCAAATATCAAAATCAAACCAAACAAACATCAAATTAAACAAAGCAATTGAATGAGATAGAGTTTAGAAATGCTCATTGATAATTAAGAAGATCTCCAACACAATTGTCACACTTGCATCTTCAATCTCTCAATCACCATTGAAATTCCTCACTTTCTCTCTCTAAAACTACTCCTAATCTAGCCTAATCTAGAGAGAGAAGCTCTTAACCTAAGAAAGAGAAAACTAAGCTCCAAACTAATTCAGAAAAAATAGAATAAAAATTGGTTCTAATTATCCCTAAAAATATACACTTCTCCTTTTAATTTTTCAGCTGCTTGTTCTCCATTGAAGCGCATCACCATCTTCACCGTCCATCAATCATCATCAACTTCAATCATCACCGCTCATCTCATCATCTATCATCGGGCATCAATCAAGGCCGTTGGTCTTCATTAAAACCACGTGAGAAGCTTGTGATACGGGTTCAAATTGAACCCAGAAAGCCGCGCCCGTGGTGGTCTAAGCCGCGCCCTCTCTAGAGCCACCGCGTCCGCGGGAAGACCTCGGGACAACCGCGGCTACTTACTGCCTGATTTGAGGCATCGAGCCCGCGTTCGCTCCTCTCACACCCGCGCCCTCGGGGAATTTCAATTGAATTGGAGCTTGATTGAGTTCGATTGGTGGAAGCTCAAGGTGGAGAAGGGTGGCTGCCGATTGGCGGTGATGTTGCGGAGTGGTGGTTGTTGCTGGAACAGGGGAATGTGGTTGGAGATGAACTGGAGCTGCTGCTGCGATTTGTGCTTAAATTGGTGACGCAAATGGTGTTGGGAAATTGGTGGATAGGTGGCTGGTTTGGTTGCGCCACCAAGTGCGGTGGAGGCAGCAGCGTGAGGCTTTGGTGAGTGGTAGTTGTTGTTGTTGGGGTTGCGAATTGGTGGAGCAAAGGGTGAGCAGGGGCTGGTGGAAGCTGGTGGTTTGTGAGGCTGTTGTGTTGGGAGCAGGGGAGCGTTGCTGTTATAGGTGTTGTTGGCTGTTGTGTTGCAATAAAGGGAGTGATTTGGTGTGGTGGAGGATAGGATATAGTGGGGTGTAGGATAAGACGGCAGCAAGGGTGATGACTTGTGTTGGCTTGTTTTCGTTGCAACAACTTAATTGATTTTGAACTTAAGACCTCGAAACATCAAGCTTGAACATCGGAACTCTAAATATGACAATTTGACTCGTGTCTTGTCCCGAGCAATCACCTACACGAACAACCAAACATGAGGGAGAAATAGAAGGCAAATAAAATAAAATAAAATAAATAAAATAAAAATAATTAAAAGAAATAAAACTAAAACTATGAATTAAGGACTAAAATAATGAAAAACACATAAAACTAAACAAAACTCAAAATGAGTTATTAAAATGGAAAACCAACTAAGA